TTCCAATCATCTTTCTTTGCATGCTCAATTGCTTCTTGGTAACTCTCGGGCTCCCCTTGATCCGAAATCAGCACAAATTCATTGGGAGGATACTTTTTCGAAAGTTATCGGTCCCTTGTAGATTTCCTCAACTCAAGTTATGGTGACGGTTCTTGAGTTGGATGCTCTCAATTTTGGGCTCAAGTTCATTAGGATTAGTATCATCCTCTACATCTTCAATAGGTGGCTGCACATCTCTCCCATTTTTATCATCCACCGAAGACGAAGGAGATGGATCAATGTCAATGAAATTGCTATTTTTTGGCTCCGGTTGATCACTTTTGCCAAAGTCTTCAATTGTTTGGTCTTCAAGAAACATAACATCACGGCTTCGAATGACTTTCTTATTGACCAGATTCCACAATCTATAACCAAATTCATCACGCCTATAGCCAAGAAAAATACATTGTCTTGACTTGCTATCAAACTTGGACCTCTCATCTTTTGGAATGTGAACAAAAACACAGCAACCAAACACTCTCAAGTGCTCATAAGACACATCTTTGCCCGTCCAAACTCTTTCGGGAACATCACCATTCAAAGGATAAGAATGAGACAAATTGATTACGTCAACCGCTGTCTTCATTGCCTCACCCCAAAAGGATCTTGGCAATTTAGCATGTGAAAGCAAAGACCTTGTTCTTTCCACAATGGTGCGGTTCATCCTCTTGGCAGCGCTATTTTGTTGAGAAGTCTTCTTAACTGTCTTTTGGTGCCGAATACCTTAGCTATGACAATACTCATCAAATGGCCCAATGTATTCACCACCATTGTCTGATCGGATGCACTTCAATTTCTGCCATGTTTCTCTTTCAACCATGGCTTGAAAAAGCTTAAATGCATCTAGAACTTGATCTTTAGTTTTTAGTATAAAAGTCCAAACTTTCCTTGAATAATCATCAATGAAAGTAACAAAATAAAGTGCACCACTATGTGTTCTAACTTTCAAAGGACCACAAACATCCTAATGAATAAACTCCAAAACATTTTCTTTTCTAGAAGCAACATTTTTATGAAAAGAAACTCTATGTTGTTTACCCGCCAAACAATGAACACAAGTTTAAGATGTGTACCTTTCAAATCGGGTAGAAGCACTTTCTTGAACAAAACTTGCAGCCCCTTTTCACTCATGTGCCCAAGCCGCTTGTGCCACAATTCGGTGGAAGTATCATTTTCAAGTGCATTGACAACACCTTTACAATTTTTTCTTTGCATCGAATAAAATGTATGAGTCTTCTTGCACTTAGCCACTACCAAAGAACCCTTTGTCAGCTTTTATATTCCATCACCAAATTTGTTGTTGAAGCCTTCATCATCTAGCTTCCCGGTAGAGATTAAATTGAAGCGAATGTCGGGAACATGCCTCACATCTTTAAGCAACAACTTGCAACCTAAATTTGTTTCCAAGCAAACATCACCCATGCCAACAACCTTGGACAAACCTTCATTACCCATTTGAACACACCCATAATCTCCTTTGGTATAGGTACTGAAGAAATCAACTCGAGAAGTCACATGAAAAGAAGTACCGAAATCAATCACCCAATTGCTCTCTTGGTCCACAAAATTGATACAATCATGTTCACAAACAACCATGAGATCATCGGTAGTAACTGCCGTTGTGTCTTCTTACTTCTTATCCACACTTTTGTCACGCATTTTCTCCTTGTTCTTGAGTTTTCGGCAGTCTCCCTTCATGTGCCCTTTCTCATGGCAATAATAGCACTCAATATATTTCTTTGAAAAAGAACCATCTTTTGATTTGTCACGGGTTTAATCATGACCATGAGGAGTCTTACTCCTCCCCCTTGTTTTGCTTCGGTCTCTTACAACAAATGCTTCTGAATGAGAGGAACCCACTGATTTTCTTCTAGTTTCTTCATTCAACAAACTACTAGTAACTTGGCTCATTGTGACAACTCTATCGGGCACCGAATTACTAACTGTCTCAACCAAAGTCTCCAAATTTTCGGGCAAAGAACTAAGTAGCATCAAAGCGTGCAAATCATCATCAAAAATTATTTTCATAGAAGCAAGTTAGTTAACAATACTCTTTATTTGATTCAAATGTTCCGGAATGGGGCTGCCATCTTTATATTTTAAATTAACCAACTTACGAAATAGAAAAATTTTATTTGTGGTTGATTTTCTGTCATAAAGGCCTTCTAATTTTTTTCATAAATTATGTGCCGAAGTTTCAGTAGCAGCATGATGAAACACACTGTCATCAATCCATTGATGGATAACTCCAACGGCTTTTCGATTAAGTCTTTTCCATTCATCATCTTTCATATCATCAGGTTTGCCACTATCACTCTCAATAGGCCCATACAAATATTTAGAAAATAATAGGTCCTTCATTTTAGTTTTTCAAGTTACTTAATTGCTTCCATTGAAGCTAGACATACAACCCACATTCCCCTCTATTGATTTATACAAATAAATAAATCTAAATAAACCGTAAGCTCTGATACTAGTTGTTAGGGAAAATATATGATTTCCCACAAGTAAATCAATCAATGAGAATAAAAGCTAATGTGAAAAAATTAAATCAACAACACAAGAATTTTTACGCGGTTCCCTCAATGTGAGGTACGTCCACGTGATCGAAATCCGATTCCACTATCAATCAAAAAGTTTCCAAACGATTATAAACGAGACACGAATGGTCTCACAAACCACTCTTAGGTGAATTCTAAATAATCACAAATAAACAAGAGGAAAGACATCACCAAATAGATAAACAAAATTGTCTTCGAAACATAGTTGAAGAAGACCACAAATCTGAATCAAAAAATAGCTTCACCAAATTGAATTCATAGCAAGCTGAACTTTGAGAACCAACCCACCGAATTGACAAGCACTAATCTCACCAACAAATCATACCCAAGCACTATCCCACGGAAGAACAATTCGCTACTGCCGCTCAAAAAAAAGAACTAAAAACAATATATATATATATATACATATATATATATATTGTTGATTCTAGGTCTTTTATTAGAACCCTCACTGTTGCCAAACAGATTATTAAATACACATTGGGCCTCCAAAAGTTAGGTATAATATATTAAAAATATATTATAACCAACATCAAACCAAACTAAATATTTTAATGAACCAATTTGGTCACATACTCCAATAAAGAGGTATACCAACATCTCTCTCTCCCCCTTTATTTTTTTCTGAATTTATTTAAAATTGCTTACCACTACTACATATTTAATTATTTGCTCATCTCTTTAATAACAAATGTTTGAAGATTTGTTTAAAATAATTAAATTAGTCTTCCTAAATACTTGAATATTACACACCAAGTTTTTCATACATTGTTACACATACTTTGCACTTGTGTTTTTGTGTTATTTGAATTTATTTAGTTATCTTCATTACATAGAATTATTTTTAACTTATTTTTGGTGTTTGGGAAGTTTGTGTATTGGGTTTTTTTTGATTTTTCTCACTAAAAGACACTTTTTGCAAAACTAAAAAAAATAAATCCAAACAAAATATTACATCCAACCCCATAATCATTTCACTTTTTCTCTCACAAACATCACACCCAATCACAGAAAAACCTAACTATCTTCTCAAACACCAAAATTTTTTTCTCCAATAAAATTTTACAACCAAAAAAACCTACATAAAAACCTACTTTCCAATATAAGAATTCGTGGTTTGCAAAAAGAGAGTCCGGATCCTCTCCAGCCCTCCTCTCCAACCCATCCTCGAGTCAACGGCCAAGATTTGGCCACGTCACCCCTAACCAAATCTATGGCTCAGATCAGATTAACTAACCAAAAAAAAAAGAGTTTCATTCAACACAGCAAAGCAAAACAGAGCTCCCTGAAATTGTGTTCGGCGGCGAACAAACATCGACGAATGAACACAAAGCACCATCGGCGGCGAACATCGGCGGCTCCTTCTCGGGTCTCTCCCTCTATTTATCTATCTCAACAATACATATATTTTGCTACATATATTCATTGAAGAATAAACAGAACAATCCTTGAAATTCTTGCCCTCCAAATATCCACTTCCTCCATTACTTCTCATCTCATATAATTTCTTTGCTTTGTTCTCTCTCTCTCTCTCTCTCTCTCTCTCTCTCTCTCTCTCAATACACAGAAATAGAGCAATCCCAAAACACCTTCTTTCAAACAAACCACAAATGCCCTCTCTCAATGGTGCATGATTAGAGATATCACCCATTGAAGAAGGGTCTAAAGGTTATTGTGTAGGAGAAAAGTTACAGAGTAGCCTTGTGGGTTTAATCTAAGAGTAGCCTTATGGGTTTAATCTGTGAGTCACAATTCAATGTCCGTTCGCAAGAAAAACATGGACTGTGGCTATGTTGTGGTGGAGATGTGGTTGTATGGTGGTGGCCGACTTGGATTCGCCACCGTCGATGTCAGGAGATGGAGTCGCCAGAGCTCAAGCTATGGGAGGAAGATCTGTTTTGCTTTGCTGTGTTGAATAAAATTCATTTTTTTTTTTTTTTGGTTAGTTAATTTGATCTCAGCCGTAGATTTGGTTAGGACTGACCTGGCCAAATCCTGGCCGTTGACCGGAGGAAGGGCTGGAGAGGAGAGCTGGAGAGGATCCGGACTCCAAAAAGACGCTATTCACTTCCCTCTAGTGTTAAACAGTTGGGAAACACACTCGTTATTCACTAGTGCACAATCATCACCGCACAGTTGGCATCGCCTAAAAGATTCGAACTCTTGTGGTGCAACCCCATGTACTTAGAATGAATGTGAACCACAGGCTAGGAACCAACATTTATTATAATTAGGATTGAAGTTTATTAGAATTTCTGTGTGTAAATTCTTTTGATTGACATGAACCAACATTATTATAATTAGCACTCCCTAATTTTTAAATTTAAGAAGTTTGTTCCAACATCAACCAACATTTATCATATTAGGATAGACATGAATCACTACAAGATACCTAGCTAGCTAGGGCAAAATTACAGCTGGGTTCACATAAGCAAACTCAAGGAACTCTTGATCATGTTCCAGTACAGCCATTTCGCGCTCATCCAAGGTCAACCAGGCTTCAATTCTATCATCCAATCCAGCTTCAATCAAAACAACAGTATTCTTATAAATTGAATTAACTCTTCCAGCCCCAGCAGGACTAACCCACGTAGGTTTTCCCCACCCAAAATCAACTTCATTGAAACCAATTTTGCACCAACTGCTAAACGTGTATGGATTTAAATTTTTATTGCTCTGACAAGTTTCTCTTAATTCTTGGACAAACTTACTAAATAAGTCATACCCCCCATCATCTCCTTGCAGTAGCTTTGGCAGAATGTCATCTCTTGTTTTCTCTATTGCCGCTCTTAGTAAACCCACCAAGCCATCCAATGACGTGATCTTTTCTTCTTCTTCTTCTTCTACTTTTTCAGCAAATGGATAGTAGTGTGCAACTACTTTCCATGTAAAATTCCCAATAGAATACTTTGACAATGATGGCTCAAATATTTTCCGTCTCAAGTCCATTTGATGACTCAACATGGATGGTTGTTGCATACCCCAGACTGCTTTTGATGCAGCCATAGCATGTTTCCAAATGAATCCTGATATTGCTTCGACACGTGTTGGGTTAGGCACCCGTTCACTAGTTGCTTTAGCTTTGAGGGTGGATATTGCCTCGGATTTGAACAAAAACCTTTGTACGATACCATCGCCCTCCCTAAGCAACATCCTTTCAGGCCAGTTTGAGTGATCAGCTGGTAGGGTTTGTTTGGAAGGAATCATTGAGGCCCCTGGGTATACTAACTTTTCTTCTTCTTCTTCTTCTTCTTCTTCTTCTGGTGGTGGTGGTGATGATGATAAGCCTAAACTTGCAATGGAATTGGAGGCCCAAGATTTGAGGAAGGCACCAATGGTTGCACCATCCATGATCTTGTGCATAAAACACCCGGAGATCACGACTCCACCACAAGTAAATATGTTGAGTTGAATAGCGACTTGAACTACCTTATCGCGTGGATCAACGAAAACATAATATGGAACAAGTGCGGGAAAAGACTGAAGATCTGGTGGTTGTGTCGTGATCAGGTTGGCCAAGTCACAATTAACACGGGTGGTTGAGAACAGGACGCCCTCATCATCGCAATCGATAGAGAAGCGGTCTTTGACTCTTCCGGCAAGAGGGTAGAAAAGAGCCAGTGTTTTCGAGAGTGAGTCCTTGAGTTGATTAATCACCTTTTCATTGATGTTGAAATTTGCATCCCTTTTGGTATAATATAAAATGATTGGTACATGACCTAGGCCACCACCTTGGTCGAGAAGAGAGAGTCTCATGGTTCGTAGGTGAGGAGGAGTTGATGAAGATGGTTTTATGATTTCTTTGGAAATCAGTTCAACCTCCATCTTCATAGGTAGGTCTGGTTTGTTAATTTGCTACAGAACTTTGTGATCGATGTGAATATTCCAAGGTTGGCTGATTGTAATTTATATAAATTTTACTAACAATGTTGAAAAGTAATCGACAGTCCATGAGTGAAGACAAGTGGGGCTGGGGTTGATGTAATAATTTCATTTACTTTTTCTTTACAGCTTTCAAATGACAGTGGGCTGGAGTTTACTTAATAATTCTCATATTTGTGTTTGGAGCAACTCTCTAAACACATTTTTACTTTTTATTTTGAGCGTGTTGTTTGTTTAAAATTTTTAGAAATTAATTTTATATTTACTTTTAAATACTTTTTTTAAAATGAAAAAAATTGAATTAACCGGCCATTCTCTCGGACGTCCGACCAGTTGACCGGCCGATTAACTAGAACAGTGTTATTTATTTTTATTTTTTAATACAATTGACACCTATTATTTTTTATATTTTAAGTAAAAAATTCAGAAATTTTTAAAAGAGTTTTTTATTGATAAATCCCATTTAGAGGTGTTTTAACCCAATAAGTCCACCAAGGAAAATTATAACCTAATTAGTCCCATGTATTTATACTTTTATTCCATGAGGTCCTTTTTTCCTAATTTATATTATTTGTTGGACTATTATACCCTTATGTCTATTTGTTGATATATATTACATAGAAAAAGAATACACATTTCATATATATATATATATATATATATAATTTCACAGCATACACCAACTCCATTATCTCAAATTGCTTCAGAGAACTTCACAGCACAACAACTCCATAAATGGCAGTATACTTGCATTTGATCACGTTCCAAATAGGCAGATTCAATCTCTGACATTAGCAAAACTCGAGCAACAGAAATTTCACATTTAGAAAATCCATGCAGCGGAACCCTAGCAACCTGAAATGCAGGGCATTAATAAAACAAAGGAAAAACAAGTAGATCCCTACATCAATATTAAAAACACACCTCAGTAAGAATTGATTTTAGGGCCTCAATAATAGTCCCTTTCTCTTTACAAAATGAAGTCATTATATAGGCTTTCATTGGACGAGCTATGACATCAGCAGCAACAGAGCATGAAAAATATGCAGAATCCTTTCTACGAGATATTTTAAAAAACCTCTGATTTAAAGCATGAAAGAATATCGACTCGGCAAGTAAATTTTTGTAGTCCTTCACAATTTTTAACTCATCCGCAGGCATCTTACAACTGATCATCACTGCAGACTGTTATGCAGAAATTAAAAGTAAGATTTCTAAAACTAAAATTTTCATGTGCTAGTGTAATGCACTTGCATGTTGATGTATTCAGGAGTAAACCAAAAGTCCAGTGGCTACTAACCCCAGCAACTTCAGATTCAACAAAACATGAAAAACGGGGTTCTTCATGAGATGGAACTAGAAAGAGAGGTATAAGTGGAGGATCTGGTGATGAACTTTTATCTCCAAAGTGGGTCCTTAGCAACTCAACTACACTCTGAGAGAGAGAGAGAGAGAGAGAGAGAAAGACAGAGACAGAGAGTCAACAAAAGTTCGACAACAAATAAAATTCTTTGTATAAAAGGAAAATCTAAATGTTAGCATATTCCAACCTGTGTATCAGAAAAATCTCCAACAGCTATCACATCCATATTGTGTAAATGGTACCACTTCCCATAAAATTGCTTCACAGTATCAGCAGAAACTGTCTGGATTACCCTTTCTAACCCAATTGGTAAACGCTCAGCATACTGCAATCAACAAATGAAATTTTACAAGGGCACGAACTTAATAAAACTCCGCAAAAAACCAACTATCAAGTCATCAATCAAATAAATATGCATTTATAACTGACTCAAGGATGCTCAATGAAGCAATGATATTAGAAAAACACAAAACTATAATACAATATAATTTGAAAAACCCAGAAATCATTTTTTGCAAAGAAGGGAAAAAAAAATGGCAACAACAACAACAACAACAAGAGGAAGGCAAAAAATGCAACAGCCTTTTCTATGTGTGTGAGTATTGCTACATACATAGTTGAAATGACAAATAGCAACTGAAATAACATATTGAAGATGTTAATATTAAACAGAAGATGTGAGCACAATATTAACATTACAAGGGAGCAGTGATCTTTATATGAAGACGATTCAAGTTAGTTTGAAAGTAAATGGTCAAACAAGCTCCAACCATGCAGGAAAAATCAAGTACAATGACCATGTAAAGAACCTCACCAGTGTATGAGACCCAAAATTGATAAATTGGTAGAGTTTAAAAAATTACCTTAGAACCTTCCATCATCAGAACCCAATGTGCATCCTGCATCCTTCCATTTGCATTGCGGTTCCCTCTGTACTCCTCCATAACAGCCCCTCTTTCTTTCTCCAAATCGTCTGTTGAGACTCGCACCTACATGGTAACAGGTGGTAAAAAGAATAAAGTAAAAAAAATGAAACTATGAAGATTATCACACAACAGAGAATTGGTTGCTACCTCCAAGCTAAATTCTGCCCCAATACTTTCAAGAAATTTAACGATATCATGATTTGTGTATTTCTTTGTGGCGCTAAAAGCAAGATGCTCAACTATATGAGCAACTCCACGTTCATCCTCCTCTTCCAAAACTGAGCTGCAACAAATTTAACGCCTCAGATTGTTTAAAAGTTCAAAAAAATAGAAATGATTATAAAGGTATGACTAAGCGTGCAGGCCTATAAGCGTGTAGGCCCGGAAGAGGAGAGGAGATGGAAGAGAATAGTCCAGTTTATTACTTCACCTGTCGCCACCTCATTTAAAATGTTAAAATATTGTAATCCTTTACGCTGCGTTGGTTGGAGGGTTTGAGGAAGGAATTGGAAAGAGAAATGGAAAATTTAAGTGAAATGTGAATAAAATATACTTACATTTTACTTAATTTCACTCACTTTTTCCTTTTCTCTTTTCAAATCCCTCTCCAAATCTCATTTCCTTTTCCCTTTCCAAATCCGTCTCCAAATCTCTTAACCAAACACAACATTACTGTTTAAAGATAATGATCGTTGCCCATTTTGTTTAAGAGTCTCGTATACATTTTACATAGAGACTCTCTCTCTCTCTCTCTCTCTCTCAATACACAGAAATAGAGCAATCCCAAAACACCTTCTTTCAAACAAACCACAAATGCCCTCTCTCAATGGTGCATGATTAGAGATATCACCCATTGAAGAAGGGTCTAAAGGTTATTGTGTAGGAGAAAAGTTACAGAGTAGCCTTGTGGGTTTAATCTAAGAGTAGCCTTATGGGTTTAATCTGTGAGTCACAATTCAATGTCCGTTCGCAAGAAAAACATGGACTGTGGCTGTGTTGTGGTGGAGATGTGGTTGTATGGTGGTGGCCGACTTGGATTCGCCGCCGTCGATGTCAGGAGATGGAGTCGCCAGAGCTCAAGCTATGGGAGGAAGATCTGTTTTGCTTTGCTGTGTTGAATAAAATTCATTTTTTTTTTTCGATTAGTTAATTTGATCTCAGCCGTAGATTTGGTTAGGACTGACCTGGCCAAATCCTGGCCGTTGACCGGAGGAAGGGCTGGAGAGGAGAGCTGGAGAGGATCCGGACTCCAAAAAGACGCTATTCACTTCCCTCTAGTGTTAAACAGTTGGGAAACACACTCGTTATTCACTAGTGCACAATCATCACCGCACAGTTGGCATCGCCTAAAAGATTCGAACTCTTGTGGTGCAACCCCATGTACTTAGAATGAATGTGAACCACAGGCTAGGAACCAACATTTATTATAATTAGGATTGAAGTTTATTAGAATTTGTGTGTGTAAATTCTTTTGATTGACATGAACCAACATTATTATAATTAGCACTCCCTAATTTTTAAATTTAAGAAGTTTGTTCCAACATCAACCAACATTTATCATATTAGGATAGACATGAATCACTACAAGATACCTAGCTAGCTAGGGCAAAATTACAGCTGGGTTCACATAAGCAAACTCAAGGAACTCTTCATCATGTTCCAGTACAGCCATTTCGCGCTCATCCAAGGTCAACCAGGCTTCAATTCTATCATCCAATCCAGCTTCAATCAAAACAACAGTATTCTTATAAATTGAATTAACTCTTCCAGCCCCAGCAGGACTAACCCACGTAGGTTTTCCCCACCCAAAATCAACTTCATTGAAACCAATTTTGCACCAACTGCTAAACGTGTATGGATTTAAATTTTTATTACTCTGACAAGTTTCTCTTAATTCTTGGACAAACTTACTAAATACGTCATACCCCCCATCATCTCCTTGCAGTAGCTTTGGCAGAATGTCATCTCTTGTTTTCTCTATTGCCGCTCTTAGTAAACCCACCAAGCCATCCAATGACGTGATCTTTTCTTCTTCTTCTTCTACTTTTTCAGCAAATGGATAGTAGTGTGCAACTACTTTCCATGTAAAATTCCCAATAGAATACTTTGACAATGATGGCTCAAATATTTTCCGTCTCAAGTCCATTTGATGACTCAACATGGATGGTTGTTGCATACCCCAGACTGCTTTTGATGCAGCCATAGCATGTTTCCAAATGAATCCTGATATTGCTTCGACACGAGTTGGGTTAGGCACCCGTTCACTAGTTGCTTTAGCTTTGAGGGTGGATATTGCCTCGGATTTGAACAAAAACCTTTGTACGGTACCATCGCCCTCCCTAAGCAACATCCTTTCAGGCCAGTTTGAGTGATCAGCTGGTAGGGTTTGTTTGGAAGGAATCATTGAGGCCCCTGGGTATACTAACTTTTTTTCTTCTTCTTCTTCTGGTGGTGGTGGTGATGATGATAAGCCTAATCTTGCAATGGAATTGGAGGCCCAAGATTTAAGGAAGGCACCAATGGTTGCACCATCCATGATCTTGTGCATAAAACACCCAGAGATCACGACTCCACCACAAGTAAATATGTTGAGTTGAATAGCAACTTGAACTACCTTATCGCGTGGATCAACGAAAACATAATATGGAACAAGTGCGGAAAAAGACTGAAGATCCGGTGGTTGTGTTGTGATCAGGTTGACCATGTCACAATTAACACGGGTGGTTGAGAACAGGACACCCTCATCATTGCAATCGATAGAGAAGCGGTCTTTGACTCTTCCGGCAAGAGGGTAGAAGAGAGCCAGTGTTTTCGAGAGTGAGTCCTTGAGTTGTTCACTCTCTCTCTTTCTCTCTCTCTCTCTCTCTCTCTCTCTCTCTCTCTCAATACACAGAAATAGAGCAATCCCAAAACACCTTCTTTCAAACAAACCACAAATGCCCTCTCTCAATGGTGCATGATTAGAGATATCACCCATTGAAGAAGGGTCTAAAGGTTATTGTGTAGGAGAGAAGTTACAGAGTAGCCTTGTGGGTTTAATCTAAGAGTAGCCTTATGGGTTTAATCTGTGAGTCACAATTCAATGTCCGTTCGCAAGAAAAACATGGGCTGTGGCTGTGTTGTGGTGGAGATGTGGTTGTATGGTGGTGGCCGACTTGGATTCGCCGCCGTCGATGTCAGGAGATGGAGTCGCCAGAGCTCAAGATATGGGAGAAAGATCTGTTTTGCTTTGCTGTGTTGAATAAAATTCATTTTTTTTTTTCGATTAGTTAATTTGATCTCAGCCGTAGATTTGGTTAGGACTGACCTGGCCAAATCCTGGCCGTTGACTGGAGGAAGGGCTGGAGAGGAGAGCTGGAGAGGATCCGGACTCCAAAAAGACGCTATTCACTCCCCTCTAGTGTTAAATAGTTGGGAAACACACTCCTTATTCACTAGTGCACAATCATCACCGCACAGTTGGCATCGCCTAAAAGATTCGAACTCTTGTGGTGCAACCCCATGTACTTAGAATGAATGTGAACCACAGGCTAGGAACCAACATTTATTATAATTAGGATTGAAGTTTATTAGAATTTGTGTGTGTAAATTCTTTTGATTGACATGAACCAACATTATTATAATTAGCACTCCCTAATTTTTAAATTTAAGAAGTTTGTTCCAACATCAACCAACATTTATCATATTAGGATTGACATGAATCACTACAAGATACCTAACTAGCTAGGACAAAATTACAGCTGGGTTCACATAAGCAAACTCAAGGAACTCTTGATCATGTTCCAGTACAGCCATTCCGCGCTCATCCAAGGTCAACCAGGCTTCAATTCTATCATCCAATCCAGCTTCAATCAAAACAACAGTATTCTTATAAATTGAATTAACTCTTCCAGCCCCAGCAGGACTAATCCACGTAGGTTTTCCCCACCCAAAATCAACTTCATTGAAACCAATTTTGCACCAACTGCTAAACGTGTATGGATTTAAATTTTTATTACTCTGACAAGTTTCTCTTAATTCTTGGACAAACTTACTAAATACGTCATACCCCCCATCATCTCCTTGCAGTAGCTTTGGCAGAATGTCATCTCTTGTTTTCTCTATTGCCGCTCTTAGTAAACCCACCAAGCCATCCAATGACGTGATCTTTTCTTCTTCTTCTTCTTCTACTTTTTCAGCAAATGGATAGTAGTGTGCAACTACTTTCCATGTAAAATTCCCAATAGAATACTTTGACAATGATGGCTCAAATATTTTCCGTCTCAAGTCCATTTGATGACTCAACATGGATGGTTGTTGCATACCCCAGACTGCTTTTGATGCAGCCATAGCATGTTTCCAAATGAATCCTGATATTGCTTCGACACGAGTTGGGTTAGGCACCCGTTCACTAGTTGCTTTAGCTTTGAGGGTGAATATTGCCTCTGATTTGAATAAAAACCTCTGTATGATACCATCGCCCTCCCTAAGCTACATCCTTTCAGGCCAGTTTGAGTGATCAGCTGGTAGGGTTTGTTTGGAAGTAATCATTGAGACCCCTGGGTATACTAACTTTTTTTCTTCTTTTTCTTCTTCTGGTGGTGGTGATGATGATAAGCCTAATCTTGCAATGGAATTGGAGGCCCAAGATTTAAGGAAGGCACCAATGGTTGCACCATCCATGATCTTGTGCATAAAACACCCAGAGATCACGACTCCACCACAAGTAAATATGTTGAGTTGAATAGCAACTTGAACTACCTTATCGCGTGGATCAACGAAAACATAATATGGAACAAGTGCGGAAAAAGACTGAAGATCGGGTGGTTGTGTTGTGATCAGGTTGGCCATGTCACAATTAACACGGGTGGTTGAGAACAGGACACCCTCATCATTGCAATCGATAGAGAAGCGGTCTTTGACTCTTCCGGCAAGAGGGTAGAAGAGAGCCAGTGTTTTCGAGAGTGAGTCCTTGAGTTGATTAATCACCTTTTCATTGATGTTGAAATTTGCATCCCTCTTGGTATAATATAAAATGATTGGTACATGACTGAGGCCACCACCTTGGTCAAAAAGAGAGAGTTTCATGTTTCGTAGGTGAGGAGGTGTTGATGAAGATGGTTTTATGATTTCTTTCGAAATCAGTTCAACTTCCATCTTCATAGGTAGGTCTGGTTTGTTAATTTGCAACAGAACTTTGTGATCGATGTGGATATTCCAAGGTTGGCTGATTGTAATTTATATAAATTTTACTAACAATGTTGAAAAGCAATCGACAGTCCATGATTGAAGACAAGTGGGGCTGGGGTTGATGTAATAATTTTCATTTGCTTTTTCTTTGCAGCTTTCAAATGACAGTGGGCTATGAATCTTTAAAAAAAAAAAAATTACAGTGGGCTGGAGTTTACTTAATAATTTTCATATACTTTTTCTTTACAGCTTTCAAAAAATCAAATCTAATATCTAAAATATGGAAAATATAATAATAGAGATAATATCAGCCCATTTTTATTCTTTTTGGCATCTACTTAGCGCTTTATATAATATTTTATTTTATAAAGTAATGTTAAAATCAATATCAATTAATTAATCAATATCAATTAATTTATCATTTGTGTTCTTCATGGAACCATATATCAAATTTTAGTTATTTTTTTAATTTTAAAATATTAGTAACACTTTAATTTTTAATACTACCGCTTAGACTCTCATTTCCCACACTCACACTCATGCCCACACCCACGCTCATGCTCTGTGTATTTCATTCTTGTTTAAAGTTTGATGTACAATAACTAATTAATCAATTACATGAGTCAATAAATTTTTTTATTGTATAAAAATTTAGTCTTCGTTTGACATATCAGACTTTTTATTTTTTTGACTATTTTAGTCACAAAAGAACAAAATAAGCTTTTTAACTTAACAAGATAAAATATTACATCTAAATCAATAGCTTTTCATTTTTTTCTCATGAAAGTCAAAAAAGCTAAAAAGTCTATTTTAAATGAGACTTTTAAACCCTAGATTAAAAAAATTCAAAAGTCAACTCACATTCCAAACTAACCCTTATTATTATATGAAGTTATCATGCATAATTATTTAAATTACACATTTTAAATAGTTATTAAATCGATCTAATTCTTTTGACAAATAAAATATACGAAATATTTAATAAAATGGACAATTTAAATTATTTTTTAAAAAAATTTAGACCTAAAAAAAAAACTGACCGAAAACTTCGATCAGTCGGTGCCCTAGGCTACCCATATGTGTGTAGCGTTGAAACAGTAATGAAAACCATTAGATAAAGTTGGGACAATTTTGAAAGGAGTAAAGATTGAGAATTTTAGTTTTAAAATTTAATAAAAAAATTTAGTGGTGGGATAAGAAATAATATTTATATATAATATATTGTGTGTATTTATAAATATATTTTTTTCTTGTCACATCTTTTTAGAATTTTAAATGGGTTTTCTTTTTTTAGGGTCCCTGGTATTAAGACTTTATAGTATAAAGGACATCTAATATTTTCATAATGTCTAAGGTACCTCAATTTGGTCCAAAGAAATTCTGGTACAGAGAAATTTTGTCCAGAGAAATTCTCTCCAACCCAAAGAAATTCTCTGTTTCTCTCCAATCCAGAGAAATTTCTCTGGACCTCTGAGAGAATTTCTCTGGACCTCTGAAAGAATTTCTCTCTACAGAATTAGAATTTCTCTGGGAGGTTTCTCTATTTCTCTAGACCTTCCAGAGAATTTCTCAAAGAAAATTTACACAATGGCCAAAATCCCAGAGAATTTCTCTAGATAGAAATTTTCTCCAGAGAAAATGAATGAAAAATTTCTTTAGATCACTTTAAACCAGAGAAATTCTCTCAAAATCAATGAAATTCCCAAAAGGTTCACTCAAATTCTCTTGATCGCACGCTCTGGACTTTCAAATTTCTCTAATCCACTCTCTAGAGAATTTCTCTGGCCTTCCCTCATCTCCAGAGAAATTTCTCTTCTCTCTAAAGAAAATTGAAATTTATCTGAACAAAATTGTTTGTTTTTATATAGGATCATTTCTCTGTGAAATTAGAGAAAATTCAAATCCTTTACCAGAGAAAATCCAAAATCTTGACAAACTGAACTGGTTAAATGTTTTTATATTATATTAACAAAAATACAAGGCTTGAATTTTTGGATATATATGTATATAAAAGAAACATGAATATGGGTTTCTATTGGACACTTTCTTAGCTTTTAGGTTTTCTCTGTTGGGTATTTTTGTTACCTGTCAACACAGGTGCGAAAACCATGATCTACAAGTCGGCACAGAGAAATTCATACGTTCAGAGAAAATTCACACATCTGGAGAAAATTCATAGTCCAGAGAAAATTCACACATTAAGAGAAAATTCACACAATCCGGAGAAAATTTAATCTGATTTGCTTACATTCTCGGCCTCTGAACCTTGCCGAAGTTATCAACCTTGTAGAACAACAAGACATCAAATGCTTTGAGACCTTGCCAACTACTACTACCACTCTCTCTCTCTCTCTCTAACTGGCTTTGAAAATGTCTGTTAATCTGATACAAAATCTGAGACTCCTCCTCCTATTAACTCTAGCATCAGGATCATTACTAGTAACCGTACACTATTCCTCATCATCCGATCCATCTCCCTCTTTATCATCATCATCATCATCTTGGTGGGGTGGTAGTAGTAGTGCTACTACTACTAGTTCTACTTCTACAAAGTGGAGATCCGCACAAGCCACGTACTACGCTGCGGCGGACCCCCATGACGCGGTGGGAGGAGCATGTAGGTACAGCGACCTGGTGAAGGGCGGGTACGGAATGTCGATGACGGGGCTGAGCAACACAGTGTTCGAGAGAGGGCAGATCTGCGGAGCTTGCTTCGAGGTCAGGTGCGTGGAGGATCTCCGTTGGTGACACAGTCATCATATATGCTCCCAACCAAAACCCAAAAAATGAGGAACAGGCAATTGCTAGAGCCCACCACATTAACCAGAAGAGAGAAGTGAAAGTTATATTCATGGAAGCAGTGGTTGACAAAATCTCAAGCAATCAAAAAGAGGATGAATATAGAAGTGGTGGTGTAGTTGATCTTCTTGGGCTTGGTGTAGGTCTTCTTCTTGCTTTTCTTTGTGTCGTCACGGAGGCGAGCACCAGGTGGAGGGTGGACTCCTTTGGGATGTTGTAGTTGCGCTCAACAACCCTATCCTTGCCAAACGCTTCACCATTCGTAGATCTGATGTTGCTTCCTACCGGTCCACCAGAGCGAACCGGCAAGGAGAGAGAGGAGGGTTTTTTGGGTCTAAGTCTAGGGCTGATGATTCAGAGTTGGGATTTGGGGGTGGGGTAGACGAAGATCTTGAAGCTTTTGTTCAGTTGGTTATAGGGGAGAGAGAGAGAGAGAGAGGAATCGTGGACAAATAGTTAAATTTCTCTGATATATGTTTAGGGACTTTAGACATCAAAAAATAATTTTGTGGATCTCTTCCATTACGAAAAGTGAGGGAGGGACCCTAGACTAGTTTTCCCATTTTAAAATTAGAGCTCCTTGTTTTGAAAGCTATAAAGAAAAAGTACACGAAAATTATTACATCAACCCAGCCCCACTTCTCGTCATTCACGGACTGCCATTTGAAAGCTGTAAAGGAAAATAAAAATTACGTGAAAATTATTACATCAACCCAGCCTACTTGTCTTCAATCATGGACTGTCGATTACTTTTCAACATTCTAAGTAAAATTTATATAACAAGACAACAGTGCTGGACCCCAGTGGGGGTGACTCCTAGCGAGTCTGGATTCTCTGTCATACTTTCCTACCATGCTTTCTACAGTGCCCCAAAACAACGTCGTTTTGGGGCAAAATTTTAAAAAAATAAAATTAATAAAACAAAACAGAGTTACAGAACCAGAGAAGGGGAAGAAGAAAGAAGACAAGAACGACGGAGTGGAAGAAAGCAAATGGCACTGTTGGGTTCTTCCAGATGAAACAATGAAAACAAACCCAAATCAAAGAATCAGAGAACCAGAGTAGTGGTTTTGATCAGAAGTTCTCTTCGGTTTTGACTCAAACCCAAATCTGATTTTGAGCCTATGATTTGTAATATATATATATATATATATATATATTGTAGATTTGTATGGATATAAGAAATCATCTTCGATTTTGACTCAAGAAAACAAACCCAAATCTGATATATACATTCACATTTTTTATTATATTTGTTAGCCTATGATTTGTAATATATATATATGTATTGTAGATTTGTATGGATATAAAGGTATATATACAAATATATATATAGGGATGGTTTCATATATATAGTATAATTTTTTATTTTTACCTCATGGCAGATAGAATATCGACATTTGGGGCATAAGGGTTGTTGAACGGCTTCAACAATGGCGTTTTCATTACTGCAGGCAGTGACCTCCTCCGGCACTGCAGCTTCAACAATGGCGTCTTCGTCATCGGCACTGCAGCTTCAACAACGCCTTTGATAGTGACCTCCTCCATTTCCATTTCTTCTTCTGTTGTTGGTGGAGCTATACAGAGCTGGTTGAACATTTTTAGGGCTTTTTTTGGAGTGGCCAAACAGGGAGTGGGCTTTTTTTTTTTAAATTTTGCCCCAAAACGATATCATTTTGTGGCACTGCAGGAAGCATGGCAGGAAAATATGGCAGAGGATCTGGACTCGACTCCTAGCACCCCTCACTTTCACATGGGACTTTGTAATAGCAAGATAAAAAAATAAATAAATAAAAAATTCAACCAATGAAAAAACAATGGCGTGGTGCGGTCACCCCCACTGGAGGCTCAGTCATTTTCCATAACAAAAATGTTTCGAATCACTAAAGTATCTAATGACAAAGCGTCGACGTGACAATCACTATTGCTAACTCTCTTTTTCTCTCTCTTTCTTATTGTTTTCAAATTTCAAATGAATTTTTAGAGTTTTCAAAATTCAGACTTTTCACTCTCTCTATGTTGGCTCCTTCCTTATCTTTTCTCTCTCTTTCTTGCTGTTGTGTCTCTCTCTCTCTCTCTCTCTCTTCGATCTAGAGCTTCCCAATGAGCAGCTCTCCAACCTCGGTGACGGTTGTGAGAATTCAAATATAAAAAAATAAAATAAATAA